AATTTTGGTTTTGTCCATTTTTGACCACCCAAACGACAGACAATTTTCAAAAAAATGACATAGTCGGAAACTAGAGTTAGGGTAGATAGTGTTGAAAAAAAAAATTGTTGGAATCGATCGAAAAGTGTCCGAGATTCTACTAGTTTGTACTAGTAGTAGTTTGTTGGGGACTAAATTTGTGATGTATGTGTCATATCTGGGTATGTGTCATATTTTTCGATTTTTTACCATTTATCGATTACGATATACCGGGTGTTTTTCGAGCGAAAAACGTAATTATTAACTTGTTGGCAAGGTATTGAGCTCCTCTTGAGCTTACCACAAAAATTTTTTGGAAAAAATCCTGTGAGGACCTTTAATTCACATATGACCATATAGTAAAAAAATAAGAAAAAATCGTGAAAAATTGTAATTTTCTCGAAAAAATGCCTGAATAACGATTTTTTTTTATCATAGATGGAAAGAGAACACAATTTTAAACAAATATGTAATGGGTGTGCCAATTAATTATAAAGGATTGATAAGAGATATCGTAACTCTTACTGTAACGCATCGGACCATACTATAACCATATTCACGTGAAAGTCACGTCATTTGACACTAATTTTCAATATGTTTTAAAAGGAGCGTATGTTGATCCAGGCCAACCAGGACCGTTGCGACCAAAACGAGACATTCATTGCCAGAAGGTCATGCTGTGCATTTGGTGGGATCAGAAAGGTATCGTTTATTATGAGCTGCTAAAACAAGGTGAAACGGTTACAGCTGACCAGCTGGTGAACGCTATCGACAACAATTGAACAAATTGGCGCATGCATTGAACAAAACGTTGGTAGCGAGAAAACACCATCGAGTTTTGTTTCACGACGACAATGCTAAGCCACATCGAGCACACATCGTCAAACAAAAGATAGAGGCGTTCGGTTGGGATCGGCTTGATCACCCCCCGTACTCTCCAGACCTTGCCCCTTCTGACTACCACTTGTTTCGATCAATGCAAATGGGCTTGTCTGAGATATCGTTTCGAAATTCTGAAGGAATGCGAAAATGGATCGATGAATGGATAGCGGCAAAAGATGAGGAATTTTCATTACATCGAAAATATATATAACAAGAAAATAGAGTCTATTTAACACATCTCTTCGCACGGACGCTGTGTATGCTGGACAAAGCAATGGTGTCATTGTGTGAAATTAATAAGAAGCAAAAAGAGATGCGATAAATAGGCGCTATTTATTATTGATATATCAATAGCTGTAATATATCTATCTAAATCTAATGTATGATATAGAGGACATCTGATTCACCGATTCATACGATCTGCTATAGGTGCGCTGTTTCCGAAATTTCGAAATATATTATAAATATATCGATTTTTGTATTTGTTAAAATTTCGAAAAAAAGATCGACAAACTATCTACAGAATTGTTAAATATCCGACATTTACAGCCCTTACAATAAGCTTCACTATGAAACTGAAGGGATTAAAAATTAAAATCGGGAAATCCTGAATATATTGAAAGTTAGAATATCATTACAATACTTAAAATAATCAGTTCATTTTGTTAGTTATCATTTCATGCAGTGAAGTGAACCGAAACCAAACCATTTCGTTTAAAGTAGGGGAGAGTCACGTAGGTTGAGACGGCACGTAGGTTGAGACACCCCGAAATTTTTTTGTTTGACAGCTGGCAGACATGTTATTTGTACTGTCAAGTTGTTGAATCATTGTTAGTAAACTTTTCGTAGTGTATTGACGTGTTTTCACGCACTCCTTGTATGTGAGCCAGAGCACCCAAAAAAAATTTCGGAAAAAAGTGATTTCAAAAATTTGACCAAAGTAAAAAAAATTGCCATTTTTTGTGGTACAAAAAGGTGAGCATGACATTTACATTACAGTTTTTGTTGTATTTTAAAAATCCGAAGAAATTCCGAACATATCTTGTGTTGAACCAAAAATACAGCGTCATGCCTATATGGCGGCAAATCACGTAGGTTGAGACACTTTGAGTCACGTAGGTTGAGACAGTATATGACGCTATGTATTTTGGTGGGAAAACACCAGAAATGTCATTTTATCTTTGTTTGTGTTCGGAATTGCAATTTGACGTTCGTGTAAAGTGATTTGTTTTCAAGTTATCACATTTTTCTTTGAATTTATCGACATTCTCTGCATGCAAAAAACACACTGAAGAAGATCAACGACGAATTTGTGTTGAAACAAGCGAACTTGACGTGGGATTAAACGTTGAAGTGTCAACTTCAGAAGCAACAACGTCAGCCGCACCATCTGTGGCAACAACATCGGCCGCACCATCTGTGGCATCAACATCAACCACATCAATGGGCTCTCGTTCCGAAAGTTTGTCGTCAATACTGAGCGATATTGGTCCAGTTCAACAAGGTTCACCGCGAAAGAAATCAAATCGTGGCCGTAAGCCAGGAACGAGCACAGTTCTAACATCACCTGAAAGTGTTTCCAAACTCAAGGAAAACCAACAAAAACGTATCGAGGCTGCAGAAAAGAAGGAGAAAGGCGCAATAAAGCGAAAGGGCTCATCGCCAAAAGCAACACCCAAAAAGTGATCACAGCCAACACGGGCCGCAAAGAAAAAATCATCATCAACGTCGGACGAGGATATCGATTTTTGCACGATCTGCATGCAAAATGTGCCATCAAAATTGACCAAATCGAACTCAATTGAATGTAATAATTGCAAGCGGCTATTTCATTTTAAATGCGTCCATATGACACGCAGTTACTAAACTTGTCAAAATTGCGATTCTGATGCTGATCTCACGGATTGATTAAGAATTCATGAAATTGTCAACTTTTTTATCATTTTTTTTGTGGCGGAGGCCTTCATAATAAAGAAAAAAACAATAACCACTCAAAATATGGCGTCTAAACTTTATTTTATTCAACCCATTTTCAATTACTCATAGTGTCTCAACCTACGTGCCAAATTTTTGGGGGGCCAAAAATCATATGTTTGGAAAATTGACCAAAACTTTTGTGTTCTTGGAGAAACACAACTACTTCTTTGGGCAAAGCTGTAGCCCGGAACAGTACCTTTCCAACGGTATATAACTTTCCTTGATAAATTGTATAAGTAAAAAAAATTGACCAAAAAACAAAACCCGTCTCAACCTACGTGACTCTCCCCTATACATCACAGCGACGAAGCGAAGTAGTTCGCGCTTCCATTGGAGTTTTCACTCAGCATATTTTACTTTCTTGTTATGGCTTTCTTTTGCACTGAATGTTTGTCCCGTGAAATCGATGACCAACCAATTATTTTAATTATTATATTAAAACATCCGAAAGGATTAAATTTCAGTATCATCGGTTTTACAGTTTTTAACATTCGATACTTTTTATTTTCTGACCGATTCAACATAAGCAGTTTACAGTGTTGATATTTATTTCATTGTTTGATCCCGATTTGTTCAATTATGGTTTTGGAGATTCAATGTTATTGCTCCTCCTTAATTGCTCGTGTGATATCCATTGATTGAGAAATGTTTTTTAATAATTTTAGGCACATTTGGAGTCTACCCAGACTGCGAAACGAACACATACTTGCCACCAACCACAACCGCAGCTTCTGTTTGTCAACCACCAAAAGTAGGCGTGTACCCTAATTGTCAATTGCCACCATGCCCGCAAGGCTATTCAGGAGTTTATCCAAACTGCAACAAGCCAACACCTCCAACAACTCCATGACCACGTTGCGCACCTGGATTGATTGGTGAATACCCCAACTGCTATGAGCCAACAACTACACCAGGACCAACTCCTCCACCTAAATGCCCTCCAGGCTACCAAGGTGTTTACCCCAACTGTTATCTAGATGTGCGTTTGAGGGTTAAATATTCGAAAAAAATTGAAAGGAAATAAATTTTGGCGAGGAAAATCATATTTTTTTTAACTAAATTGATTGGATGCTGGCAAAAAATTTGTTTTAAGACAGCTATAAATCATTTATGTGATTTTCGGGGAGAATATTTAATATTTGGTTGAGAAGGTGATGAAACTCCACATTCTTTGTGATTTTTTCGATTTTTTGTACGGAAAATGTATTCAAATATGATTGGATCTTGAAATAAATGCCAGATTTGGTTTTCTCGTGTCAAAAAACCCCCCAATACCAATTTTCACAATAATCGATTGATAAACACATCATCTCCCAGAATAGTGAAAAATGGAAACTTCAAAAAATTTTTTTGTATGAAGTCATGAGCCAACTAAGAAAAATGGTTATCACCACTGAATTCCTTGGCCCCGAGTTAGGTAGGAATGACTAGTCCCGTCTCTGTTGCATTTTGAAGTTGAAAAAAACTAGGACAGTGTATTCAATGAAAGATTTAAAATATAATTTGATGTGAAATTGATGTGATTTATAGTGATATTTTGCTTTAAAAAAAAGTTTACCGGTGTGTTGTAAAAACATAAAAAAATCCGTATCTCACGTTCATATTTGCGATAATTTATATTTGTTTTTTATCATTTAATCGATTTTGCATATTGAAAGAGCCAAAAGAATTGATATAAAGTTATCTCCGACCATTTTGAGAATTTTTATTTTTAGACCCCATTACAAGATTTTTACCTTCACACTACGTGTGGGCGGAAAAGTAATAAGGCGTTCCAAATTTCAAGCCATACACTTCATTTTGATTTTTTGTTGTTTTACACATATTTTACATTTAATTTAAAGGGCACTGACATTCTTATTAATTAAATGATAATTACGGTGTGATTCGTTGTCGTTGGAAACTTATCTAAATATTAAATGAATGATGCCCATCTGCATGATTAATGATGGATTAATTGAGTTAAATGAAAACAATTATTTTCGTGTTATTCGTTCTATTCCAAAATGCATTTATTTGTAATAATAATAATGTATACAATTACTTTTGTAAATCATTTTGTTCCCCCCAACATTATTCTTTTATGCGGTTCATTCTTTTTTTTACTTAATATTAGTCAATAATATTTGCGATTTCATTCCAAAAAAGAGACAAAGTAAACATTTGAATCAGGCGTCGGAAAATGATATATATATTTTCTAGTGTAACTGGCCTGCAAAATGTTGCCAGTAAAAGAAATGATGATTGTAATAAAGTGCTACAATAGGCCGTAAGAAAAACAGAAATAGAGCCGCAAATACTGTCAATTGTCACTTGTATGGAACATCTACCAAGAGTGTATCCTAATCTTAGTAAATTTTCTCATTTTAATACTAATAAGCTACTTTACTGGTTTTTCTTTTAATTGTTCAAATGTAAACTGAAGATAATTTCGAAAAGTAACGTTTTCGTAAAGGCATTGATTATATTATAGTAATTATTCAGATAATCCTTTGATAGTTCGTAAATAGTTTTATCAATAGGTGTGTGAAGATAGAACAAATACCAAATGCAATTAGGATGCAATTTTGTACCAAACAAAAAAAAAAGAAGAAGAAGATTAAAGAGAATGAAATGTACAACAAAAACTTTATTTTAATTAAAATGAAAAGAATAGTATAGAGAAAAAAAGTTGTAGTGATCGTACTTTGCGCTGGTGTCGAACCAAGCCAAAATGCAAAAGTGTGGAATGCGACTCATGATAAATTCACTTTTTTCCCATTAGACACATAACATTTTCCATTTGTAAAATCGTTTGATATAGAATAATCATTGATATTATTCGATTCGTTTTTTTATACAATTGTTTTTTTTTTGTTTTTTTTTTTTAATTGATATTAATTTTCAACCGAGTGTTTTTCATCATATCTTTTTTCATTTAAATTATCATATAGCATAAGCGGCTTCATCCTATCAAATCAGATGCAAGAAAATATTATGTTCAATGATCTGTTGAAAGATTTATTGCTATTTAGAAAAATATTATTATTTTGTTATTTGTTTTTTTTTATAATTATTGTAGCAAAAATTGAAATGTGTTTAGTTTTGTTTTGATTTGAAATTTGTTTCGATTTGTTTCAAGAAATTCAACGTGCTACGGAAGGGCACGTTCTCGCATGCTCTGTGTTCGATTGATCTAAGTTGTTGGAATTGTTTACATATTTTCGAATTGATCGACACGACGTTTTGTGTTTCCTTTACGGATTTCACGCAATGTTTTATATTTGTCACGACCCTGACGAACGTTCTCGCGATGGATTTTATCGTTGACAGTTTCCTTCGTTTCGTCTCTGGACTGTGCCAAATCTTGTTTAAGTGCCTATAAATAGCAAAGAATTAATACAGCTCATTCTAACAACTCATTCCATTGGCCAATAAAACTTACTTTCAATTGATCATGCAAACGTTCACTGCGTTCGGCAAGTGTGCGTCGATCCTCAACTGGATCTTTGATGTTTTCGTCAATGTCCAAGTCTCTTGATACATCGCCACTGTGGTCACCATTCGTCATCTCCTCCTCGTCTTCGGTAATATGATGATGTTTTGGTGTAGCTGTGGCAGCCAACAAAGCAGCAGCAGCTTCGTCCTGTGAAAAATAGTCGAATTTAGTTGAATCTTTAAAAAAAGAAACGTATTTTGTCATGAATAATGCATACTTGTTTGCGACGGGCTTCTTCAACTTCTTCTTGCAAGCGTTTTGTTTCGCTGTCTTTAATGTTGACCTCGTCTTGGATGCGTTGCACTTCATCCTGTTTGGCTCTGATTTCATCTTCCAATTTTTGACGTTCGGCCGCTTCCAAATTCTTGGCATCTTCTAAACGTTGCAACATCGCTTGTAATTCATTTTGACGCAATTCCAATTCATCCTTGGCAGCTTGCAATTGACGTAATTGTTCTTCAAGACGACGAATGATATCCTGTGCTTCGATCAAATTGGCTTGTGATCGTTCCATCTCTTCTTGCATGGCACGCAAACGGTCTTCGTATTCCTGTTGTTTCTTTTCGGCACGTTCACGTGCGGCCAATGCCATTTGCAATTTTTCACGTTCCTGTTGCTTGGCATTCTTTTCTTCACGTGCTTGTGCTTTCATTTGTTGCACGTCAATTGTGTCCGGTTTACGGCGTCGCATATACAATTCATGGTTACCCATGCATAAGGCCAAAATGCGTTTATTGATGCGAACACGTGGTGCAAAGAACACAAAATCGGGCGCCTTCTTATCGATCGGTTTGATGATGAATTTTCTATCATTGAACGAAATGTTACGGATTTCGGACCATGGAAAACCAATTTTGGGTGTTAGTTTATCGTCTTTTTCATAGATATTCAAACCTAATGCATCAACACCCAACCAGAGTTCGGTGCCTTTTTTGTTGCGAATTTCAAAGTAATTGACACCATACATTTCCAAGTCCTGAGCAATTTTCAAGTATTCCATCATCGCATCTTCACGAAGCATTCCCTTGTGCTCTTGCCACCATGTCATAATCGATTGTTCCCATTCGTCTTTTGACATTTTGTGTTGGTCAATAACACGTTGCGGCAACAAGCGATCGTTCGACAAAAAACCGGGATTGTGTGTGTTTTTATTGAAGTCACCGTGTCGCGCTTGCACCGCATACGATGCCAATAGCACCGATGTTTCGGGCGGTGAATAAATTTCATCTGATAAAATTGCATTCTTTACTTGCAAATAGAACAAACGAAGGGTAATGTCTTGAATCAACTCCTCGGCAACATCTTCAGGATAGAATTTGGCACGGAATTTGAATTGAAGTGGATTTTCTTTCTTCACATCTTGGTTCATCACCTATGCAAATTAAACGAAATCACATATTAATCTTACTTTTATTTAATACAATTTTCTGCAACAAAAAAAAATAAAGTAAAAGAAATCACAAACCAAAATCAAACAAAACCTCATTGATCAAAAATAATGTATCAGCCTTTAAATAAAACATACCCAATGTGAAAACGGCATAGACCCTGTCTAGTCCAAATTAGTATTGTATGCATTTAAATCGAAAAGAAATTAAAAAATGGTTTAAACACACTTTTAAACACATTTGCATTGCACGACTTTGGTTCAGCAATAAATTTCTTATTGTGCAAAAAAAAAAGTTTGTGGCACTGATAAGTGTACAATAGCAATATTGATTGAATGAAACAAGTGTTCCATTTCATTTTATTGTTGACATTTAGAAACAAGCACACGTTTGATGCGTCCATGAAATTGCCATAAGCAGTCTTTGTGCTTTGCGCTTATGAATATGGCTTTCTCGAAAATAACGTTGAGTGATTGATTACTGATTGAAGCATCGAGGTGATTGAATTAAAAAAAAATCAACCAAAGTAAATTCAGAACATATTTTCTCGGTTGTGAACAAATTAGTTCATTTATTTATTTATATTTATACTTGCGCATTTCCAAAATGAATCATTTCATTTGATAATCTTATCGCATCGTATGATGAATAAATGTATACGAAAAATGAAACAGACATGACAAATTCTTGGCACTACTGCATAGAATAGCGGTAAGTACTTTATGTATCATTGAAGAAATATCTTATTATCTAAAGATACGCGGAAAATGTTCAAGTATGAATTTTATTCCCTTGGTTCTAATGGAAAATCACTCTCTTTATTGACGTTTAATCATTTTTTTTGCAGTCTATCTGATTTACGTCGCCTTAAATAACAGCAATTAGTTTGTAAGCATTTATGGATTATAAAATCATTAGTATTATCGTGGAGTTACGAGCAACTACAATTGTTTTGAGCGGCTTTTCAAAAATTACACTTTGATCGATCAGCATTCTTACCAAATCGTCTTCGTCACTATCCGAGTCTTCGGTTGATTTTTTATTTTTATTTAGTCGCTTTGTAAGACGTTTTGCGTGTTTTACCGCCACACAAAATAAATTCTCCGGCTTTTTATTTTATTTTGTGTATTTTTGCGAATGATAAACAGTTTTTTGATGGCATGCATTAAATAAGTAAATTGAGAAAATAATTTGAAATTGTAAAAAAAAGAAGTTAAGAATTATAAATGAATTCACAGGAAATACCAGGTTGTTCGTGATACATTTTCGGAATTTACTACAAAGCGTTCAAGTCTTTTGAAATGTATAAAAATGTTTACATTTGTTGTTATTATTAACTAGGAGAAAAAATGTAAACCAATGGCATTTAATAATACAATACGTGGAATGAAAATATCACTTAAAATGCGTTTCTTCATCTAAAATCGATTGAAATGATCAAATACTGATGTGTTTTTTTATCGTTCTCTAATTAGAGTCATGTGTCACGTAATTTTTTTTATTTGCTCGATGTGTGAGATCACTTTTGATCACAGAATATGACTACCGTTGACTCATGGTTGCAAAAAAAAAAAAAACAATCGTCACATGAAATTAAAAACTTTACTGAATGAAAATATGTTTATTACTCACTGAGTTCCAATGAATAATTCGGATTATGAACGAATAACGGCGAGAACTGTTCATGCGCCAAATAAAAGCCAATTGTGATTTGCTAAATGAAAACGGAACCTTACATATCATCGTTATATATCAGTTTGACGCAATCAGGTTCAACAGATTTATCTTATGGTGAGATATCACTTATAAGAATTGAAAATGTACGATTACTTTCCCATTTGTTTACCCCATTCAGTCAATGGCTTAATCGAAATATAACATTATTTTTATAATAATGGCTCTTATACAGAATGCTAGCTGATAAATAAACCTCTTAATAAATGTCAATTTTATTCTTCTCGCTGATCGGCGGTGCCAAATGACCTAAGCAGATAAGAGCATGATAGAGAGAAAGAGAATATACAACGTAACTGTGTTGCTAGCTATCAGATCGAAGGAAGATTAGCTCATTCTTTATTTTTTCACCTGCCGCAATTAGTGTTACAAAAATCGTATTCAACTAAGATGAAAAAAAAAGAAGAGACTGAAACAAGCAAATTCATTTGCATCGCTTAAAGTTGCTTTGACCTTCACCGATATTGAAGTATATACATCATGAACGGCAATCGATTCTATTTATTTAAAATTAACTGCACACTTGTTACAAACAGAATTTTAATTTTAATATTCTCTCTGAGACAAGAGATAAAATTTGAGCAAACAGTGTGCAGTTGATGCCATATGGAAGGAAAAAAAACTGAGACACCGAAATGACTGGCTGTTTGCTCGAATGGTGATTGTTTCGAATGATCACGACCACACGATGACAGATTGAAAGGTGCACACCATAAATGGTTCAAGTGTGTACGAGTGATTGTCGATTTGCAATTGCGTTGGCCGTGGATCAAATCATCATTATCAAAATGATCTCCTCTATGATAAGGAATAGATTAAATAGCAGGCAATTCTAAATAATTTATGTCTCTCTGTTCAACGAAATTTTAATGATAACTTTTTTACGTATTCAAGTGTGCGTACTCGGTGCCCATATTGTCGTTGTAACAATGATAATAAATAAAACCCAATAATTTAAAAAAAAATGTCGGGCCAGGCCAAGAGTTAAATATTTGTAGATATTTCTAAATATATAATTCGCGAATATTCGTACATTGAAAATGTATTTCTTCATTGAAGAGCAAGGAGAACATTCAAAAGCAAATTGAAAATTCCGAGAAAAAAAATGTGAATAAGTGCTGGTGGCTACCAAGGCAAATTAATAATGACAACAACGTAATGAGGCAAATAGAAGCTGAAACACGTTACCTCTTTTTTCCCCCATACACTCAAATACCCATTATCGTTCTCTCTATCGCGATTTTTTTTAAAGTGGGATTATGTAAAAAGAAATTTGCCAAATGTGTATAATATCAGAAAATTGTGGATGTACCTGCAAAATTGTATATAAATATGAACATGTGTAGAAGTGTTCACATCGCCCATTGTGTTTGTTTATTCTATCTCTCTCATAATTCACATTTATCACACGAATATCATTTACTTTTGACGTTTCAATGGTTCAATATTCCTAGTAATTCTGTAGATCTTTGATTCTACGGTGTAATATTCTGAAATAATTCGAATTTTTTCCCTGCTAATGCCGAACGTGTTAAAAACATGACAGAATATTCCGAAATGAGTATTTCGTGCATCGTCAATTTGAGCATTTCAAGTGACTTTTCTTTCCGGGTGTTGGGATTTAATTTGACATCCATGCATGTAAATATGGTAATTTAGCATTATTTTTTTTTCATAATCAACTACGAGGGCAGAGATTGGAACTTGAGTGTTAATCAAGATAGGAGGATATAACATATTCAAAATTTGCAGGGTGTCACACTCTTCATAGCGTATCGGTTTTTAATTATAATTATACATAATTCAAGTTCAACTCTAAACTAGTTACAAAAAACAACAATTAACGCCAAACGAATGAAAAGAAATTGCAATACAAACCTTCTTATACAGTTTAATCCATGTGAGATCGCCCTTTGAATCTGTGTACTGAAGTCCAAAGAACCAAACCTCGCGTAATCCAATCGTCTTAACCACTTGATCGAATAACTGTTTGCCGGTGGTCGTTTGCTGGATGGCAAACTCCAGTTCGGCGTCCATTGTGGTGACGCGCACATTTAACTGAAAATAAATAAGAAAAATTCATTAGACAACAACAAAAAAATAAGGTGGATAAGTTATAAAATAGGGAAAAAAGACGATTCACATTAGTTAATTTCGTTTTCATAAATGTTTGTTTGGATTTCTCCTAACGATGTAAAAAATTACTGCCTTCGAAAGTCAAACGTCAAGGTAAACCTGAATTGAATTGCATGGTTAAGCTCGTTTTCGGCATTTGAACAGGTCTACGCTTCACTGTTTTGCACTGTCATTCATACAAAACATGTTGTGCTCTTCCATTGACAAAATTATAGACATTTTCACAATGACAAAATCCAAACGAGGAGACGAGACGAAATAACAAAAGAACTCTTGAGGAAATCGATCCGTTGTATATGCGCGTTTAGTTTATTGATAAACGAGCAATTGACAAATTCATTGAATTTAATTAGTATCGGAGACGGAAAGTTCAGAAAAAGAGACATATTTCCTTGTAGTCTTTCAGTCGATGCTTCTCAGCCAATTAACAGTGTCTAATTATTATCGTCGGTCGGGTCTCATGATTTTCTAATAATGATCACAATGAAAGCGAAACACAATCGAATACAAATCAATAATTCATTTCATTACTTTTTTGTTTTTTTTTTCTCTCCTTAAACCGATTAAAAATATAAGAACATAAATAAACTTGTGGTTGGGAAAAAACCAGATAACTTATTGATTTGGTGCAAAAAGTCACATCAACCCGTATTAATGCGATCGAATACGATTTTTAGAAGAATAACAAAAACTCGCTTCAAAACCAGATAATGTTGAACAACAAAACAAAAAAAAAAAATTGAATGCAGCGCTAATTCCATTTGCATGATCGAAAAGGCGTCGAACGATCATGTGACTGAACAACTTTTTTTTCTGAATGGTTTTCAATGGGTTTACATCAGCCATTTTACACTGGCGATGATATCAAGATACATTTGGTTTATATAGCGATGGGAAACATTTCTCCGTACGGAATTCATGTTATGATTTGAGAACAAATTGAATTAAACTATAAATCTTGAGAGGCGTTGACTACTGATGAATCACACTTAACACAAACCGGACATATAACGGCTGCTGAGGCTAACACATGTATCAAATTGTCCTTTGATATTTTACATTAAGACAAAACGGCAACAAGCGACATATTTGATGGTGAGAAAGAGCGACTTTGATCGTGTTCCGGTTGATCGTATCTCGACCTAACAAAATGTTCAATTTTATTAGCTTGGTGATACATTCAGATTAGTAGACATGTGTACGATATAAAAACACATGTCTTAAATTGTTTTTAATTTAATTTATGTTCATCTTGAAATCTCGTTCCATTTGCTCGCTATCGTTAAGCAAATGCGTTATTACTGTTGTGGTTTTGTGAATTAAAAATTCGAATTGATATTCTCAGAACTTATTTTTCCGGTTTGTAAGTGCACAATGCAATCAAGAATCTCAACTCAGCGAAAAATTCTTTTCATGGAAAATGCAATCGCAAGAATACTTATATAGCCCATTGGTTATTATGCCGGGGGGGAAATAAATGGATATAGCGATAACAAACGATAACAAATTTACATTTTCCACACGATTCGTTGTGAATGAATTTAAATAAAATGGTGTTGGTGTGCGCGGCAACGGTAAAAATGTTCAACAAAAATAGAAAATCAATTGTTTAAATATGAATCGAATGAAATTAGTGTCGGATCAATCTTTGGTTGTCGTTCATTCTAAATCGTTCGTGTATTGCTGCTGTTGTTGTTGTTGCTGCTAAAACGCCGAGCCTAACTAAAAGAGAACAAATTGCGCACATATACACAAAAACAAAAGCGAAAAAAAAAAACAATTGAATTGCATTATTGTGTGTATTTGTATTGTGTTTGGAAGGCCCGAAGGTTACCTACTTCATGCTTCGACTGAATTGTTCAAAAAGCGACGAACATTCGATCTCGCGCATCTACGAAACAATAATTAAATTCATTCACTTTGATTTCATGCTGGCCATTTAAATGCCTACAATGTATTGCCGTACATGCTGATAGTATTTTTTAATTTTTGTTTTGTGCACCGCAAAATTTAGCACTGCTATCGTTCAAACAAATGTAATATGAGATAGTGGCCAACAGCAAAGACACTGTAAGCATGTAGCAAAATAAGGTAAATATGACGTTAATTTGTGTACTTTTTTTGTATGATCGATGCATACCGCATCGTTTTTCTAGGCCGACCAATTGCATTTCAACTCGATAGATTTTCAAATGGGCTACGGGTATGTATGGGCAAACCAAAACCTCAAGTACAATGCATCACGCATACTCATGCATCTCACGAATAGCACGCATATTTTGACTCACTTCATTTCTATATCAAACATGAGGCTTTATACGCTTCATTTATTCGGTTTAGTTGATGTAGGCGCTTCGTGTGGAATAAATGTTACCATTTTACAAACAATGATTTATCTTTTGCCAGAAAACAAAAGCCAAAACAAAACCGAACAACAACAACAACAACAAAATTGTAAGTTGTGAGCTGTTAACGAGTCGAGGAGAAAAGCGATTATTCAATTATCATACATTGCGCGCAATGCATAGTGCATATAGCTCAACGATAAAATTTCGTTTTGCAATCGACCAGCATATACAACGTAAAACAAGAAACAACAACTATTGCCATGGAATTGAAATGTATGTGTCTGTGTATGCTTCCATCGCACTTGATTCTCATCTTAATCACATGCATCACGGATTTTGTTTCATGTCGGATTTTATATTCGTTAAGTGGATGTGTCTTTCATAAATCGGATTTATAGAAAATTGTAATTGTGAGTTTGCACTTTGGACACTGTTATATTGGACTGATCCAATCGTAATCAATAAAAATTGTACAAGAGGATAAGGAGAGAGAGAAAAAATTGAAGCAAGTGGAAAAAAATTGAACATCAAACAAACGAATGCAGCGACTTCATGACTTTCTATTTCGGGACAGGTTTTCTAAACACGATTTGCTTGAAAACGCTCTTTTTCTTTCTCATCATCATCATCGTCATTTCTGTGGTCTCTGGCCCGATATCATCTGCACTTTATGAACGGTTTTGCCCATTATGACCACTTTGCATTGAATTTAATGCAAAGTCAATTGTGCCATACGCACATCTCTGTTACATTTGTTCGTCGATAGAGTCTCAAAGAGACAGAAACAAAAACGGCTTTTTTAATTTCGCTTTCGTCGTTTATTCGTACGTAAACGACTCTGCAGAGGTCTGCAACGGACACCTGTATGCCTCGAAGTGGCCACTCTTTTCCATTATTTTTTCTTTTCTAATTACTTTTTCGACCAACTTTCAAAATTCATTCTCACTTTGAAACGAATTCAATGCAATTGAATTTAACTGATATTTTATTATGCAAACAAAAATTCAAGCGAATATATAACAAAAAAAAAAGATGAAGTAAAAAAATTTGTCACCAACCATTTTACTCGAGGAAACCATGATGGTGGTCGTATTGTTTCTCTATGTACGGATTTTTCAAATTTTCTAATAACTTTCGAAGAGTTGTTTTTTTCTTTATCGTGTCGGACTTTTCCTTCACTTAGTTTTATGATGCACTTTACACAATCTTACACATACGTTTGCATGGAAAAAGCAACAACAACTACAAGAAAACACGTTTCGAATCGATTTCAAATTCATGGAACGATTCACTAACGAAATCGTGCAATTTCTTTTTTTCTCTCTACAAAAGACTGCTTTCCGAATTATTATTTTAATAAATGAACAAAACTTCAATAAAAAAAAATCACTACGAATCGATATTGAATATTTTCGTGATGTCGTTAAGGTTTCAACACCGGAAAAAATTCAAATTTAAAAAAAATATATATCCGTTTAAAATGCTCAAACCAAGGCAGTAGCTTGGGTCTGAATTGGTCAAAATTTAAACAGAAACTGACGTTAATTCGCTGTGTCTGGCTCAGCGAAAGTTGTATTTTTTCGACCGTTAAAACTGAAGCGAACTGTGGTGATGCGATGTAGTGATGCTATTGCCATTGTTTGTTTCTCTTTTTGGCGCACATTCAAGTCTCATACACAAACGCACACACATCCATACAGTCATATATCGGATCGAAGCCAGCACGCACACATAGAAGCAGGCATGTTAAGCGAAACGAATATATTGCAGAGAGATATGCTTTGGTGTAACAAACGTACGAAATGAGAGCGAGAAAGATATTGATGCGCATCGCACTTAAAACGGGTGCTGGCATCTGCGCTCCTATAGGCCACAATGTATGTGTGTGTTTGTGTTGGAATTGTGAATATCGTTATAAGGCGCAGCATTAGTCATACTTTGTTTGCGACGCATTCACAACAGACTTTTTCAATCTATCTTTGTTCCTCTTCGCGCGCCATTCAGTTGTGTTGTAGTTTCTTTTCCATTTTATGCTTCGGTCATCCTATTTTATACTCAGCGCCCAAAATGTACGTTAAACGCAACGAAACAAAATCCAATACATATACTGTAAACGAAAACAAACGCCGCGTTCTCTTCTTGTTACTGACATCGTAATCATTTTTTTTTTTCTTCGTGTTTTGTCTTTTGTTAACATGTATTATAATATTGACTTTTCACGTCTCCCATTAGTCCGAAAAAAAGAAAAATAATCCACAGCTTAACATGCAAGAACCTTCAAATGTAGCAAACATAGTATAGAATTTGTTTTATTTGAAGAAGCTTTGTCCAATTACATATCAAAACAATGCGCATTTGCACACGAAAAAAATATGAGAAAATCACTTTGGCAAATAAAATGTTTACTTTTTTATGCGGTGACGTCTGCACCAAACGTACTCGATATATCCAATGGATTTTATTCGGCTTCCACGAACTGGAATGTACTAGGGAATGTATCATTTCATTTATATTGAACTGCAATAAATGGTTGGTATTTGCCATTTCATTGATTCGTCTTATCATTTTCTTTCTGACCTTATTCTTGTTATTTCATGTTATCATATTTAATGTGGCCAAATTATATAATTTCTTTTTTTCAATATTGTTTCAAAATCCAATTGATTGAAAATCGGTGACTTGCGGAATGAATTTTATAATCGTGTTGTGTTCGTCATTTCGTCTGTGGCAATGTGTTTTTTTGTCGTCAAAACAGGAAAGTACTAGACATTGGCTCGAATGATCATGACCAAAACACCAATGTTCAATGTTAATACTACCTAAATATTGGCATTGTCAATGTGGCGTGCGTGCATCGCAAAACAAAATAATCAATAACAACATGTACACGGAATAAATTCAAACACAAATAAACAAAATGATTGAATAAAAGAACCGTTTCTTTTCAATTTCGGTTTCTCTGCGGTTTGACGTTTGAATGTTGGCAAAGATATTGAGATATATTTTGTTGGCACGAACTGCAGTGGCGTAAATACGTGGTCGATTCAAAATTCCATTTCAAGCTTGCTGCTTTTTTGTTTGATTGCATCAATAATGATTCATCGAAAACATAAATAATATTCCATCCATCTGTTGTTACTCATTTCATTTATGACAATATTGCGTGTTATTTTTAGCACTCTTTTGTTGAGAGACTGCAACTTGTTCAAATGACTTGCTTTCAAAGACAAGTTAATTAAGAAATAATCAAGTAATCGAACATCATCTGATTAATTTGTTTGAACGCATTTTATCGCATCAATTTAAAAAGATAAATTGCCAACACAACAGAATTCGTGAGCTTGGTCATTGTTTATCTTTCTCATACGAATGAGACAAAGAAAAGGTGGAAATGTGTAAGTAAATAAAATAAAAACAACTAAATTCATGATTGAAATTGGAAATTTAAAAAAAAACGATTAAACAAGTGAGTTACAAACTGTTACAAAATACATGTATTTTCTCAATGGCGTTCGATATTGTTTTTCCATTCATTTTAGCATATTCGCCCAAGCCTGTAGAAATTAAATCACAAATAAATACTAATAGAGCACATAATGGAAACTCACTGAACCAGCAAACTGTTGTTAATTGAACGTAAAAAAGGGCCGTCGTCGAAAACAAGTTGGGAAAAAAGCAGGAAAATGAATCAAGATGATTGGAATGTTTTTTTTTCGGTAACATAATAACTTTGTTTGTTTGCATACGAGTGACTATGTCATTGATCGGAATGTAATATGGCCATCAGATTTGGCAGAATATTTCGAAAAAAATAAATTGAGTGTAACATTTTATGGATGAAATAGAAGATGATGTCAAACGGCATTTTAAAAATATGTGCGAACACTATCAGTTCTTATATAAGACAAAAGCACAACTTAATGTCTTTTTGTCATTACACCATACCAACTATTTTAACGAAATCGTATCATTTGCTTTGTCACTAAAATGTCGTTTTTATTTTGTGTATTTTCGGTTTGTTTATTGTAGTTTTTTTTTTGTGCGGAATCTTCGCTTTTACCTAGACCTATAAAACCAGTAAAATACACACACGAATGCTGATTGTTTCACGTTCATGCATACCACGCGATTATAATATCATCGTACAATGCTTCGCCAAAAAATCAAGCGAACTATAGAACGATTTTTTTTTTTGTGTTTTGTTTTGACTGAAAATATCATTCTTTGTTTGTATGTGCGCCAAATCCACGGAGATTGCGATGCATTGGTCTTGGTTTTGTTCTCGATATCTCATTTCCTTTTGCTTTCGCTTTTAATCCGTTCGCCCGTTTTGTTTTCGTTTTTCCTTCAAGCAAATCTATTATTAATAATAAGTTTCTGCTTTTGAATTCGCTTCGCTGCTTTTTTTTACTATACTATCTGTATTTTTGAAAAATGACGCCGAATATTGGCTTCAACCACAATGCTGCGTCTTTTCAAGCTCTGTTTTGGGACCATTTTCGCCATCATGTATGTGTCGCGGTTTGTTTGTTTTCTGTTCTTTTTTTGACAACGCAAAAAAAATGGGTTTGGTCCGATCTTTAATTCACTTCGAATGCTTCATACATTGGATGTAGACACATCAAAAGAAGCTTACCATACACTCGAAACCACATTCCATTTACAAAATTCTTTACAACATTACATTACGACCGAGAGAGTGAGACACGAAGAGAAAAAAAAGTTTAAAAATGCATTCAACTGGTTTTTTTTCCTGCATGGGTTTCGGTTTGTGTGTTAGAGCAACTATTGCAAAACCATATTTTTTTTTCAATCGGTTCAATTAGTCATAGCATTCAGGTAATTAACACTCATAGCATTTAAATACCGTTCTTGTGACGCCAAAGTCAAGTATTTTTGCTATATGTAAAAATGTAGATCAGTACGACGTTTTTCTTATCAATACCGAAAACTAGGTGCTCTGATATCGAGTTTATCGTTTCTCGCACTTTTGTCGTTAGAATTCGAAACGACAGAGTAAAATAAACAGTAAAACAAACATAAATGGCACACATTTTCGTCGCGCAACAAGCGTACAAACCACGCATAATATGTAAGCGTTAATCGAATAGCAAGTTGAGTCATATAAAAAATTTGTTTGCTTTATTTTCTTTGTTCATTTTTCATTGGTTTATGTGTTTCACATATCGTTTGTTTTTTCTTCTCCTTATGCGTGGCGTATGTTGCTATGACGGTTTTCAATGATATGGAAATTTATTTTGTTCACAAACATTACAGTTGAAAGTGATTTTTTTTTAAAAATTCATTTGTTCATTCATCTCGCTTCGAAAGGAAAATAATAAATTTAGTCGTTTTGCTTTCATTTTATTACCGATGAATTTTACTTTCATAGCTGGTTTCTTTCTTCTCGTCGTTTTTCCGTCGCGAGTATTGATGTTGTTACTTCAAGACAAAAACTTTGCGATAAATCTCCATTCACGCATACATAAAGTGTTTTTGTTGTTTCGTTAAATCATCACACCAATTTAATGTCGCGTTACGTTTTCAATACATTTTTAAGTGTATATCAGTGCTACCAATTTCTTTGCATAACATAATCGATATTGATCGTTCGGATATGCAGGACAAAAAAAATGGAGCAACAAACATAGTGATGTCAGTCTATGAGTTATTGAACTAATGACCTTTTGTTTTAACACCTCGACACCATTGCGATGTTTCATTTTTTTTTTTCAAGAAACACATGGACAAAATTAAACTATAATATTGCATGTGTATGGAAAAAGGGATGATATATGGTTTAACATTGTATAAATTGGTTTGTTTTCATAGCGAAGGGATTCATTCATTCGCTCAAATATTCAAATCATTCAACAAAATGCATTTTGTTTGTAACAAAAGAAGAAAATGGCCCTATTACATAAAACGATTTAAAAATAACCGAACGCTTTCAAGTGGTTCAGAATGGGCTTTGGGCTTTTAGAGAGATGGTAATCAACGAGATTCGAAAATTTTTCGACACAAAGCAATACACTAAATGAACCGGCAAAATGTCATCACCGCCTCTAATAAAAGAAACAGGTTTGACTAGATTTTTTTTCTTCGATTCGTTTTTTTTAGCTAAACTCTCTCATGATCTAATGAATAAGTATGACAGTTTGCGTGTGTGTGTTTCAAGTATTTAAAAGAATTTTTCCATAGAGCTCGTGCTGACCAATGGCGAGAATGGTTGGATGTGGTTTTTTTTTTCGTTGACTCCATTTCCCAAAACAATGAACTATTTTGCTTAGTTCGTTTAATGAGTACATTGCTAGAAGAACAATGGAGTTCAGAAAGTTGGTTTTATATTGCGTACACTTTCAAAGAAGATTTCCATAAGCATTGAAAGAAACCGCCGATTCTCTATCGCACGCTATAGAGCACAGCACGCTATGTCTATTCGCCGAGTTGAATTGGTATGGCTTCTCCGCATTGCATGGGAATAATAATTGTGTCT